TATGGATTATCAAGTATGAATTATTTTTAGGTCACACCGACACCATCTACAACGTTTTTGCGTGAACCGTTTGCCGCCCCTCTACCACCCAAAATTAGTTCACCGCCCCCCTACCACCCAAAACTAGTTCATTGCCCCTCGGTGACACTTTACCGCCCACTGGGGGGCGATATTGCCCCCGTTGAGAACCACTGCAGTTTAACTCGACCTTAAAAACATATTTACAGTATTAAAATATTCATACTAATAAGACACTGTCTAATACTGTACCTATGTACCTATTTCTAGTTTTTTTTTTTTTGAATTATTAATACTAATATTACAATGGAAAATTAATATCAGCAAACTATTCATAACTACATAACCAACTAGCAATTAGCTGACGGGAGTACACTGCAACGAGGGTTTAAGGCGCTAAGTATGTTTAGAAACCTAAAACTGGTAATTCTTTTGACGTCGGATCAAATATATGAATATGGCTACACAATGTTGATGGAATTTAATCATTTTACCTCCAAAGACCGAAATAGTCCCGCTAAATTTGCTCCATATACCTTAGACCACACCTCGAACTTCAAGGGATGTCCAGAATTCAAGTCAATATTTAAAAAGTCTGCCTCAAAAATTCGACTTGTCAAAGCTCCCGATTTAAACACTCAACCTAGAAACATATCATACACAGAGCCATYAACAGTCAAAATATGAACTCAGACCAATTCTGTAATACCTTTTCAAACCTTATAACAACTCTTAGTTCAATAATTAGTCCATTAATATCCCTCTTTTCTTCAGTTCTTAATGCACTAATCCCAAAAGGCACTATCTCCCCATAGTTTGTTACCATTGCATCACCAATTATTAAATATAAAATCTTATCCACTATACCATATAATTATTATGCTCTCATTAACTCTAATTGAAATTTTTGAACTGTATTCATTGTCTCAAAATTTAATCTTAATTGTTAAAATTACTAATATTACTTATATTATATATGTTATAGAAATTATTATTAATGATATTAACGCTATTAAAATTATACAAAAGTAAATACTTATAATAGCACGTGGTGTGCTGTAACATTTTAATATACAATAAATAAAAGTAAAAAATCATTTTATCTAGATATATTTAATAAGTAAATATAAACAAGGTAATATTGTTTTCACTATGTATTAAAATAATGACAAAATACGCCTCGATGACGTTTAATCGGATATTTTACTATCATTTATTATAAAGTGTGATACATAATATTTATTATAAAGTATTTATAAGTAATGATATTATGCCAGTGTAACAGGCGATTTTTACCCACGGATATTTTTACCCCCCACGGTAAAAATATCCTAGTATATTTTTATCGGGGGTAAAATTAATCTAGGATATATTTACCGGGGGTAAAGAAAACCTAGTATATTTATACCCCTGGTAAAATTATAAGGGGATAAAATTATACTAGGTGGTTAAATCTACCCCCGGTAAAAATATACTAGGTTAATTTTACCCCCGGTAAAATTGTTCTACAGGGGGTTAAAAATATACTGGGATAAATTAAACTTTATTT